GTTTAACAGGAATCTGTGAAGACCAAACATCCCCAGCTTCACTATGAGTCAAAGTTGTATATGCTTCTCCAAGGGGGAAGTAAGTTTTCAGCCTTTCCCCATTTTTTCTTTCTAATTTGTACTTTAATCAACTTCTTTTCTTGCTGGCTAGACATGCATTTCTTTACTTTACTGTCAAGAAGTGAAATTAGTCTATGAGCTCTTTTCATTTCTTTTATGAAGCTGGTATACCACATCTAAAATGGTTTGGAATCGAGGGTGACTACAATGTCATGGCTATTGACCTCCTTGGGCCAAGTCTTGAAGACTTGTTTAACTATTGTGATAGGAAATTATCTCTGAAAACAGTTCTGATGCTGGCAGATCAGCTAGTAAGCATGACTTTAATTTCAACAAATCTATACTTGTCAACAAAATTATACTTTAGATAGACAGATGCTGTATTTTTACTCTTTTCTTTTATTTGATTCACCTAGATAAACAGAGTTGAGTACATGCACTCCCGGGGTTTTCTTCATCGCGATATAAAGCCTGACAACTTTTTAATGGGTTTAGGCCGTAAGGCAAATCAGGTATATTGTGTACCCCACTTAACTAAGCCTTATAATTATGCATGACATCTCACTTGTATTCTGAAGTTGTTTTAATTGTGAATTGTGATTTAATCGAATTGTTTTTCACAGTATGGATATATGGAGATTTCAATGTTGCTCTAAATTCCTAGTAATCTGTTCTGTGTAGTAGCCATTATATGAAATTTATTATTCAGAACTTGAATGCTGTAAGTGTAAATAAGCTTACCTTAGTTGATCTATTTTTCATTATCATATTGATAAAAACTGGATCACAACTTATGAGGAGAAATAGTATTTTATTGAAGAACCTGAGAATCTCTGTTTTAATGAATACAATAACCAAGAGAGGATGAAGAATACAGAGGGAAAAAATATACTCCTACCCCAGTATCGGAGAGACATGGACTCTCACTAGCCAAATTCCTTCACAAGACACACCTACTAACATTCCCTGCTCTCTGCTTGATATTTATTCTCTCCTGTCTGTTAAAGATACTTGTCTACTGGTTGATCCCTATTTATTTTCTATTGGCTGTTCCAATTAATTGTCTATTTGAGAAAACACTATTTATTCCATTCTGATTCTGACTTTTAAAATTAATTGTCTATTGAGTTGCAATTACTTCTGCGCACTCCATAGGATTCTTATGTACATTCTCGCCCTCATTCCTCCTACTGTAAACCTTCTTCAGGGAAGTTTTCCTATTGTTCCAGTATTTCTATTCTTTGTGAGGTCATAGTTAAAAAGTTAATTTCTCTTCTTCTGTATAATGCATTATTTTGTTCAGTATTACTGATTTTGTTTTTATATTCCTGTCTCTAATTTTAAGTAAATTATTTCGTTCTTGGATTTTAACATAATTTTACTCTTTGAACTTATTTCTCCAAGATTGTGGTTTTAATCCGTGGCTTCACTCTCTGTTTCTGTTACTTCTAAACCATATGTTTTTGCAAATGATTGAATAAGCCTGCTCAGCTATTGGTGTTGCTAATCCCTTATCAGCTTTGAACATTGGTTATTTTATCTTTCTTTGCAAACTCGTTTTCAAATATTTAAGATATTATTGTATAAACTTTTAAACTGGAAACAACATACATACAAAACCATTGCATGACTTTGCTACGAATCCTTTGTTTCTTTTATTATGTTTGATTTTATTTTCACTCTACTGCTCTCTCCTTTGTTTTTGCATCTAATACATTTGTTTTAATTTTTTGATAATTTAATGGTTTATATTAGTCAAAGTTGTGTTCCTGGTACCGTTTAATAACCAAACTACTCACTGTTCCAGTTACTAAAGGTTAGACCATTATAAATCAGGTTCAATATGAAGGTTTCCAAACAAATTCAGACCCTAACAATGTTATATAAACTCAAACCCTGTAAGAAGTAACTAAGAAAAAGGAGGTTTGTTGACAATGTATCATAGATTTTGTTTTCTGCTAGACAGGTGTCATGTATTACAAAACTTTGTTCTTTTTATGTTACTGTTTCTGATTTATTTTTTTTAATAATATGAAGGTATACATAATTGATTATGGCCTTGCAAAAAAGTATCGCGATCTTCAAACACATAAGCATATACCATACAGGTAATGATTTTGAGATTTTGTTTGGGCAGACTCTGCAGATTCTTTTCATTTCATTCCTTGAGTATACATATACAACGCATAACTGCATAAAGACTGAATACTACATATACATTACCTATTCAGATAGGTGACTGTTTATTTTACAGACACATCACATAACTGTTTTATCAGATAGCGGTGATGCTTACTAGTTTTACCAGTTTTGAACCTGAGCCAATCCAAAATAATATGCCAAAACTTGAACCTGCACCCTTGTGGCCTTCATGTGTCTTCTGCCAAACCTGTATCCTTTATTAATATATAAAATAGTTATCGTCCTAGACATCCCTTTTCTTTTGTTAATGTCATTGTACTTTATTTTTTTCAGGGAAAACAAAAACCTCACTGGAACTGCTCGTTATGCAAGTGTTAATACACATCTGGGAGTTGGTGAGTGAGGCTGTTGATTACGGGCTTGCTACTTCCAGCTGAATAATCAATAAAATTTTCTAAGCTTTTTAAACTCAAAATAAATATAAATTTTTGACAATCTTGTTCTTGTAATTCTTGCAGAACAAAGCAGAAGAGATGATCTAGAATCTCTTGGTTATGTGCTCATGTACTTCTTGAGAGGAAGGTCAGTTGAATTGAAATGCTGTTTTATTTCTCTGCAATAATAGTTGTTGTTATATTTTAACATTTTTGGCTATTTTTTCCAGTCTCCCATGGCAAGGCTTGAAAGCTGGCACTAAAAAGCAAAAATATGACAAGATAAGTGAAAAGAAGAGGCTTACTTCAATCGAGGTTTTGTTACTTGCTCACAATAAGCTTCTATTTCGAAAATATTCTGATTACTGCAAATATTTTTCTTTAACCAAGTAGAATTGGTTGTACAATAAATTAATTCTTTCTCTCATATTATCTGTTGTAAATGTGGGTTTCTGAGCCAGGTCTTATGCAAGTCATATCCATTGGAATTCACTTCATACTTCCACTACTGCCGATCATTGCGATTTGAAGATAAGCCTGATTACTCCTATCTTAAGAGACTGTTTCGGGATCTATTCATTCGAGAAGGTTAACTTTGTATACATAAGCTTTAATGTTTTCTTATGAGTAATGAAAATTGTCTAAGGATTTGAAGCTCTTGCTTGCACAGGGTATCAGTTTGACTATGTATTTGATTGGACAATGTTGAAGTATCCACAAATTGGATCCAGCTCTAGAACTCGAGTGAGTACTTCTTACCTAAGTGTGCTTTCATTGTTTTTCTAGCAAAAGTTTAAGTTCTTTTTAATCATTTGTTTGCCGCATCTTCAACAGCCAAGTGGGAAACCAGTCATAAACCCTGGACAATCAGGAGATCGGCCTTCAGGTTTAATCTGTCTGCAATTTTTTTAAAGTAGCAATTATTGTTACTTATATTCATAATCCTTGTAGTTCTATTTATTATTCTTCATGTTTATGAGCTTTTATTCTCATCGCATGTTTTGAAACTGATAGTATTTTGTCCCGTTCAAAAAATTGGCTGAACATTGGGCACCGCAGAATAGTGTATTACTTAAATTCTACAAACTGGTTGAAAAAGGCTTTCATCAGCTAATGATTATCGTACTTATATTACAGGGGTGCCAGAGATTCGAGATAGGTTCTCAGGTGCAGTTGAGGCATTTGCGAGGAGGAATGGCTCTGGACTTGGTCTGCATGGTGATCATTCTAGGCATAGGTCTTCGGATGATGTGCCATCATCCAAAGATGTGGTTAGTATCTGAGTTATTGTTTTCTGTGTATGACATGAATTTGTTACCCTACACTTTTATGGGACTGTTATTATTTTGTTTTCCTTTGCAGCAAGCTGATTCTGAGAGGCCTCGTAGCTCTTCTCGTAATGGCAGTTCTTCAAAAAAGCCTGTCTTGTCAAGTAGCCGACCAAGCTCTTCTGGCGAGCCCAGTGAAAGCCGTGCTAGCAGACTGGTCTCAAGCAGTGGCAGACTATCAACAACTCAGAGACTTCAACCCAGTTCTGAATTTAAAACATCTCTAACTCGGGCTTCAGCGACGAGAGGTGGTCGTGATGATACCCTCAGGAGCTTTGAACTCCTGTCACTTGGTACAGGAAAACGGAAATGAAGAGCTCTGTAATCAGCAGATTTATTGTGTCAAGGGTCTTAGTTGTGCTGGTACTTTCGTTTGAGATATCTACACGTTGATTTCTCTGTATATTTCCATCCAATATTGAGGCTAAAGCTCATTCAAACTTCTTCATGGAGATTTGGCGGACTCTTACACCTCTTCGGATGTTCTTCCATGATTATTTCAGCATGGGCCCATTCATGAAGAGATACTATGTTACGTAAGGAATTTGTTAATATATGGCTATTTTGTAATAAATACATTCTCTATTTTTCCTTTGAAGGAAAGGATAAGGATCTGTAAAAGCGCTTTTGGAAATTTTGCACCATGCATATTTCGTGGCCCGAGTATTTTGTTCTAATGCACATTAGAGGGAATGAAATTATTGGCTTCAATTATAAGAGAATGAAAAGACTCTTAACAGCATTTCACCAATTGGACTGATGCGTGTGATCCAATTATGAGAAATTCACATGTTAAGGTAAGTGTTAATGTAATGTAGCAAATTCACATGAAAATATTTGTGAGAAAGACCACTTCAACATTATAAAACAGTATTTACTTCCCCTATTGAAGGAATTAAATTCATTTTGAACTCATCCTTTATTACGACTTTGTATAAAGTTAGAAGTAAATTTGTAAAGCTAGACAAAATGGTGGCTCCAATATTGAGTCTTGGTCCATGAGTGAATCTAATTCAGAAAATTAAAGAAAGTAAGAATGGTGATTACTATTGAGACTTGGTCCACGATTTCAGAAAGTAAGATAGGTAATTTCGTTATAAGTATTAATTTTATTATTTTTAATAAATTTTTCAGTATTTTTTAATCAATATCTTTATTATCTTTTTATTCAAAATCATTTCTAATAGGTAAAAAATAATTAATATATCATTTAACTTTATAAATGATATATATTTATATTCCTTTTTTCAATAAAACTACAAGAAACCATTTCAGAGGAATGTTACTTTTAATCTCACAACATGTTTGACTAAAGTAAAAATTATATATATATATATTTTTTTACACTAAATTTTAATATAAATTTACTTTTTTAAAATATAATTAATTTTACTTTAATATTATTTTTTAAAATTAATTATATAAGATCAAAATTTAAAATGTTCATTTGATTATTGTATTGTCGACACAACTTAAAATCTAAACACAAAATTACAAATTTGAAGGACAAATAATCAGAACCTAAGACTCACAATGGCTCATTATAAATTTGAGTTGGATTGAATTGGGTGGAAAAAAATAAAATAAAAAATTAATTATCATCAAAGTAAATCTGTATCATTGTAGATTAAATAGGATTCGAATTAAGTTAGTGGTGGATTAACTATTTTTTTCAATTTTAATTTTTTTCTATTTATGTGTTTATGTAAATTCATAAAGAATAAAATATTTGACTGATTCAGGTTATTTTAATAAGTCAATTCATTTAACTAATTTATTTCAATAATTTGAAAATAAATAAATAAAAGACATATTTAATTGAATAAATCCATTTAACTTACTAATCTATGGATAATTTAAACTGTAATTTTTTTTCTTAAAAAAAAAAAGAGTGAATGAATGAAAAGTGATGTTGAATCAATCTAAAGATAATTGAATCCTTTATCAACTGAATTGCATGCAAGAACTTTATGCCACCAAATTCAAGACATATCAATCAAAGTCACTTGTTGACCTTAAAAGTTTGAGCCAAGCTATTGGAATTGAAAGAAAAGTAGGTAGGAGTGAGTAATATAAAAGTGTATTAAGAGAAAAATCATAGAGGAAGTAGTATTGTATGAAAAAATAAAATAAAATGCATTAGAAACATTTGCATCATTTTCTCAGTTCAATTTTCAGGGGTCAGTAAAATGGAAGACTTATAGATAATAATATATATTTCATGATCAAATGAAAGCACAATTATTTACTAATAGATTATATTAAGTTAGGGCTTATCCTTATTTATTTTATAGTATTATTGAGTTTAAACTTAAATTTTAAAATAATATAAAAGTTAAGAGTTTTTTTTTTTTTCAATGAGCCTTTTCAAAATGAAAATTTTCCCTTATCATATATAAGTGATCCGGATAATATCTTAATTTCATTAAAGAAACACTCCAAAACTTATTGTATATCTATTAAATTAAACCCAATAATTAAAAATAGTTAAGTCCTGCATTAATTAAAAATATGAAATAAGAGTAACTTTATCTTATGATTAGTTCTACGAGTTTCTCAAACTCAAATGATGAAAACTAAAAAATTTTAGAAACAGGATCATAAAATTACCCTATTAAACATGTAAAGGGTAATTTCATTTTAAGTTATATTTAACTTTTTATTCATTTGTTAGTGTAATGCATTAAGAAACAAAACTTAAATTATGATTCTTTAAACATTTTTAACTCCATTCTTTAAATAAAACAATGTTTTTCTTGATAATAAGTATGAACTTTAATTAAAGAGAAAAATTGATAATATTTAAATCTTGCCCAATAATGAGATATGATCATTAATTATAATAAAATTGTTATATTAAACTTTTATTTTAAAGCTCAAAACAAAATTATAAATACTATTTTTTTTATATATTGTTATCAAATCATCTAAAATATTTCCACCGTCATCTCATCAAATAGAACCCCCTAAACTAAACCTGAAAAATAAAAATACTTTTCTCTATTTTCCCACCTGAAAAAATTCAAAAATTATTTTGGCTGGTAAAAGAAAGGTTGGGTAATCACTAATCACTCACTCACTCGCTCTCGACAGTTTCAGTTGGTACAGTGAGTGCACAGCACACGGACACAACAGATAAATACAACTCTACTGTTTTATTTTACCTCTTTTCCTTTGTGTTTTCTTTTGTTTTCTCATTCATCACTACCGTTTCGTTTTGTTTTCGTTGCCTCTTCCCCATTCCTTTTTCAAACCTCGAAACCAAACAAGGGTTTTCTTTTCTTTGCCTTTTTACTTTTTTTTTTTTTTTTAATTTTCCATTTTTTTTCTCTACTTCACACTCCAATTCTCCTCCCTTTGAGTTCTTTCCTTCTCTGAATCGCACCAAAACCGTTTTTCCCTCTCATCTATTCAAATTTCCTGGAATTTGCAATTCTGGGGCGTGTCTGAATGAAGTCGAGCTGCAGGATCCTCTGTGTTCTTCTTCTCCGGTACTCATGATCGTTTTTGACTGAAAGTTGTTAACTTGGTTGCTGGGCTTTTGCTAACCCAAGTGGTTGAAGAAGAGTAGGGGGAGAATCGGAGTGATTGTTGAAAAAGTGGGGTTTAGGGTTTTTGGCACGGGCTGCGGAATTTGTGATTGAATTAGGGTTGTTGATTGCATGAGAGGTAGAATTGTGTTGTGATGGATGTGGAGGAAACTGAGGAGTTGGTGTCTTTGGACCCAGATTTGTTGCAGCTTCAGGAGGTGTCACCGTTTGCACTGAAATCGAGTCCTTATGTTGTCGAGGAGCTATTCACGCAGTGGCTTTCGCTTCCAGACACTTGTCGCCTGGTACATACATACTCATACGTAGTTCATTTGAACTGAACCACTTATGCTTTTCTATGAATCAATGAATGATTTTGGCTATTCACTAGACTAGTGGACATGGTGAAGAGAGATAGAGTTGTCTAGAGTCTTTTAACCCCAAATTGAGAGTGTTTTTCTTTTGTTGCATGGGGGTTTCAGTTAGCGTAATTGAATTAAAATGTGACCGGAGATGTAAAAAACCAGAACTACTGTGAAGATAGAAAACTTCTGTATTAATCAAATACTAATCCTTTAAATGTTAATTAAGTGTGTGAATTCCTAATCTACTAATGACTTATCGTTCCTATCATGCTGGAGATTGTGAATTCCTTGAGCTACGTGATTGTAATTAAACTGTTTGTATTCATTTACTCTTCTGTATAGGATTTTTAGTGAATACCTTGTTGCTTCTCATAAAAACTAAAGTTTATACAAGAGTAACTTAAAATAAATCACTTTTTTTAAGCACAAACAAACAGACCCATTAGTTTAGAAAATAGTTTTCATAATCTTATCAAACATGCCCTTTTTTTTACTTTTTTGTTTTTAAAAGCAGAACAGTATTCAAAACACAGGAAACAAACAGGCACTAACATTATAATTTTTGAACAGTAACAGTGTGGATGAATGACTACTGAAATATGACACTTTATGGTATTGACAAAGGAAATCTGGGGAAACATTTCTCTTCATAATTTACTTTTTATATCCTAAAACTATTCAGGAAAATTAACCATGAGTCTTCTGTGCTACCTGAAAATCAATGACTGGCCTGGCCTGGATTAAGTGATGATGGAAAATTTGTCATTTATGCTTATTTAATAAAATAAACAATTCTTTTATTATGTTTGATGACTGAGACAAGTATTCTTTGTTTCTCCTCCTTGCTCCTTGCTTTTGTTAAGTCTTCTTATGCATTGTGGGGTTGTGGTCGAACTCACATGATTCACACAAGGCTCAAGTTTAAGCTGTGTGATTTTATAGAATAATGTTCTGTGAGAATCTTGTGGTCGAACTCACATGATTCACACAAGGCTCAAGTTTAAGCTGTGTGATTTTATAGAATAAATGTTCTGTGAGAATCACCTGAAAGGTGAACGGGCATTTTATTCTAGGCCATTTAATTCTAGAGCATTAAGTGTTTGTCATAAAACTTTAATTAATCATATAAACGGAATATTCATCTCATTAATAGTTTGAGTTTAATAGCCAGGCTATAGACTAGATAAATAAGTTATGCAGTAATAGTACTGTAGATGTTTTGTTCTACTTTTGAATTACCATCTCCAAAGCATCACCATTATAATTTATCTTTTTCTAGATATATTTTTTTATATGTTATTTTAATCTACATCTGTTTAATTTGTTCAATGATGCATTATGGAAACAGGTTAAGTCGTTGCTTGCTGATGCAAAGGCAGGAACTCCTTTGAGTGCACTTGAGAATTCAACAAACACAAGTGTTCTGTCAAGTAACTCTCTACCTTCCTTGTTTCCTGCTGGGAGTACACCACCACTTTCACCTCGCAGTTCATCTGGTTCCCCACGTACCACAAAACAGAGAAATAGTCCTTCATTAGGATCTCCACTAAAATTAGTTAGTGAACCTGTAAGGGAGGTCATTCCACAGGTATTTGTTAGTCTTAACTCGTTTTTTTTTTTTCTATAATTTGTTTTTGGTTATATCTAGAAAAAAATAATTAATTCCTTGTTTTTTAATATTAGCATTGCTTTGAATATGCTTGCAGTTCTACTTCAAAAATGGTCGTCCACCACCTAGTGAAATGAAAGAGCATTTCCTGTATCAAATCGAAAGTCGATTTTATGGTCATGTGGATGGTCTGCAATTACATGGTGAGAAGTTCTGACAGAGAACATGGTATTTGTGAGCATTCTCAATTATGATAGTTATTTCAATAGTTTCAACTTTTGTTGTTAATTTGCAGAATTTAAGTCTGTTACAAAAGAGCTCTGCAAACTTCCCTCATTTTTCTCCACTGCTCTTTTCAGAAAGATTGATGTCAATTTTACTGGAACCATTACAAGGTACCAAATTTCTTATTGGATCCTTTCATTTGAATATATTATTGCATCAGATGAAACATTTGAATCTATCACAATACTTGGATGCCAGTTGTTTCATAAATGGTAAGAAAAATAGGGCTGCCAGGTGTTTTGTGACAGAACGTGCTTTTGAAAGTGGTTTATTTGCTGGATGAATGGGTTTGCTCCTTGGGGTTGGATTTGTGATAGAGATTTGAGTATTATGGGGTGTCTAAGTCCCTCAATCAAATGGTTTGGAATGTTTGTTTAAGTGTTTGGTTCTGCTCCCTTAATAACTATCTTGTAAAGGAGGGTTTTTCAAGTGCTTGATTGCTTATCCATAGGTAACATAGCTGGTTGCTGATGTCTTAGAATATGCTACTTTTGGAGGCATTGGCTCTCAAGAGTGGTGCTATGATAGGGACTTGGGTATTATGAGGGTGCTTAAGTCTCACATCAAGTAATACGGAATTCTAGATGGAGTATTTAAGTTCGTGGTTCTCTCCTCTTAACAACTAGCTTTAAAGGGAGCTTTCCCCAGTGCTTGAGTGTTTGTCAATCTGTTTAATGAATTTTTATTTATTTACTTCCATCTTTTCCCTCAAATGAAGGAAAAATATTTTAACCTTAGATTAAACGACTCATTCTAAATCATATAGTTTATGCTGGATGACAATTATGTGTGCTTTGTTGACCCTGAGAAAGAAATACCTCGGTTGATAATTTGACTATTTTTCTGGTATGTGATTTTTAGAATTCTTTTTGGAGACTCATTTAACTATTTCACATTTTGTAGTTTGAATTCAATGTAGAAGGGCTCTTTTGTTTTAAAATTGATTATATTTGATTGATATATATAATTTTGAACGGTTTAGAGTAAATTAATTAGGATGTATGTTCAAATCAATCTCACCAATAAATATATATTGGAATGTATATCTTTCTGGTCTCTATTTCTATTTCTGTTCATTGTTCACTGTTCCTGTTCAAATCAATCTCTATTTCTATTTATTGACTATCTCATGCTTATGATTATGAATTTAAGCATAATCAAGTATTTGATGTGTTTTATAAAAATATCTTTCTCTTATTTATGCTATGCTATGTGTGTGTGTGTATATACATATATATATATATATATATATATATATATTATACAAATGGATTTTATGAATCTTATCCTGTGTTAGGATTCCATGATTTATGATTCATTTTCGTTTTCCAAATATATTGAGTTTGACTGCCTTGGCTAGAGGAGTGTAAAATGCAGTTGTTAATTTGTTCTTGAGACAGATGTTTATTCTGCTTCTACATATCATTTGATAGTTTCTTAGTCAATGTTATTTATTTCATAATGCTAACTAGTTCGTAAGGCAAAATTATATTAAGGAGCGAAATTCCTTGCCTACTAGATATCATTGGGCAGAAAGTTGAATATGCTTACAAGATGTTTGATAGTTGTCCAGTGTTTTACATTTTTAGTTATTTCTTTAGATGAATCACATTATTATTTTTAACAAGAAGCTGGGATGGATATCGCCCTCACTTTTGCACTATGATTCTTATTGTTTATGTAAAATGTCTTTTATCTTGATGAACTATGACTGCCTGTTGAACTAATGTCATTTCTTAACATATATCATATATATTGTAGGGATCAATTTATAGACTATTGGATTCGGGGCAATATGTTAGCTATGGATTTAACCACACAAATATATACCATACTGAAGCAACCATATCAGGCATACCTTGCACAGGTTTGCTTTCTTTTATAAGCTGTCATTCAAGTAGTCCCAAGTATATTTGCTTTTTTATGTCTCTCAACATGAATATGAAGGGCTTTAAAATAAGTATTAAAATTACATTTTTTATTTTGGTTGTAGGATGATTTCAAACCTGTCCTGAGGGAACTATTGTCCACTCATCCTGGACTGGAGTTTTTGCAAAGCACACCTGAGTTTCAGGAAAGATACGGTACGGTCATGTTAATTAGATAATTAGTTGTGTATTGAGTGTCTTTATTTCATAAAATTTGTTTAAGGTAAATCAATAGATATCATAGTCACCAGTCTCACCTAAATTTTATGAAGGGAATTTAATTCTGATGGCAAGGTTGGAATATCTGTCATTATTATGTTGTTTTGGGGCTAATTTCTTAGTGAACGTCTGGGAATAATAATCTTTCCAATTAAAATATAATTTCCTTTGTTTTTTTCCCCCATTTTTTTCTTTTGGAGTGGACATGCTAGAATGCAGACTATCTGACATTCCACTTGTAAAATAGTCACGATAGATTGCATTCTTTATTCTCCTTTGAATTTGGAAATCTGAGTAAAACCAATACATCATACCAGAGCACTAGCAGAGCAGTACCCTCGCATCAAGAAATCAACAACCCACATCAAATAGCAAGTCACTAGCCAACAATCTGAAATTTGTCCAATATCTTCGCAAACAGCAGAAACAAACAAATCAAATTTTGGACTCAACCTAAAACACCATTGTGTCCAAATATGTTTCATATTTGTAGCTTTTGAATCAGGAAAATTTTCATCTTGTAGAGTCTAAGGAGGATGTTTAACCTCTTTAAAGAGATTGCTAAATTTTGTTTGTTAT